ATGACTGCAAACAAAAGTTGTTTTGATTTGTTATGACCTATTTTGACGTTAACCTGACATTGTTACCAGTGTAAAATTACTAGATTAAAATCAAAATTTGTATTAAATCGATTTAAAATGCCAAGATTTACAGACAGACGACTGACTGACATACATTTTGTGTACGGGTTATGCAATGGCAGTTCATTGGCAGCCGTAAGAGAATATCAAAGAAGATTTCCCAATAGCATAGTACCTGGACGTCGAATCTTTACTGATATTCACCGGAATTTGTCAAACCATGGAAGTTTTCAGCGTATGCAGGGTTCAGGAAGGCCACTGGGCAATCATCGTATGGATATTACTTTAAATATGTTTGAAAATACTCCGCAAATAAGCATACGAAATGTTTCAGAAATTATGGATATACCTCGATCAATAGCAAGAAAAATTTATGAATACCTATTTGATAGTTATCCTAAAAATAATAATTTTAGATAGGAAGAATGACGAGAATGCAAGAATTAGATCCTTATCATTTTAAACGGGTGCAGCATTTAACGGAGGCAGATTTTTTACCACGAACCCAGTTTTTCCAGTGGATATTGTACTTCCCAATCGTCTTAATTCAGAGGTGTATCTGAACTTTCTTCAAAATGAGCTCACGGATATAATACCATTGGTTGAATGTCAATTTTCCAGATAGGTGGTTAAGCCGAGGAGGTCCTATAGCGTAGCCGCCACGTTCACCTGACCTAAATCCATTGGATTTCTATTTTTGCGGGTAATTAAAACACCTAGTTTACTCGACTGAAGTAAATACTCAAGATGATTTACTTCAAAGGATCCATCAGGCTGCAAATGAAATAAGAAGAAAAAGGTTTTCCACTTTTCGGGCTACACAATCATTAGTTCGTCGAGCGAGACTCTGTATCCAACAAAATAAGAATTTATTTGAACACTTATTGTAAAGCTAGTTTTAAGTATATCCAACTGTATGTCTTCTTTTTTAAACAAATTTCAATTTCGTTCGTAGAAAAAACTTATTTTTTTTGTTTTTGCCTAAATGTTAGGCTATATTGCAATAGAAATGAAATATGTATTTATGTAATGTTTACCAATTATTAAATTAGTTTTTTCGTTGCCGTGGCTAATTATTCAACAATTCATTTAAATTTGCAGTACATTTCCTATCATGTGACAAATTTTTTAGTTTGATTTTATTCAAAAATGGCACAATTTATCGATATTCAATAAGTGTACCTTTTTTATGTAGACAACCCCACATTTTCAAATTATAAAATTGAATTTCAAAAATAGAATCACAGAAAAATTTCAGGGCTAAAATAACCAGACCTGTTACATACGTTTCCAAACAAAACTGTCTAAAATTGTTAATATTTTTCAATCCAGCATAAGAAACTAGGCTGGATTGCCAAATTTTATGTCTTTATCTCAACACGTTTCGGAAATATTAAGGAAATGTTTATATAAAATGTTCTTCCTATTTTAAGCTCTAGAAACCGCTGATAGAATATTGCACACCTTTTTCGGGACACCCTGTATAGAGGGATACTGGTAGTCTTACTTTGACCCGCCAAGAACGGTGACTACAACTATACTAGTCGTCACGTTCATATGTGATGACATACGATGCTTCTTTATAAAGTTTTCAAGTTAATCTTGCTCACGGTCAAGCCTGTTTCCGGACGAGAAATTCGTGGGTTGAAAAATCCCATGCTCAGTGTTATCCATTCTCACAATTTTTAGTTCTATGGCTGCAATCGGGTTTAAATTTTTCAGAGTTTTCGGAGTTCCATGCAACCTCCCGCGCCTGAGTAATTTCCACCGGAAACAATTACGAGCCAGCTAACGTCACTCATTGCTGTCGGAATACGCGTTGTGTGAGGGATTTCCATCATTTTCCATGACACCCGCTGAAAAGGTAAAAGCTATGGAGAATCACCTCAAATTTTGAGCCACACAGGCGCACCTGAATTTTTGACAGCGGTTGAGAGGGTTGCATAATTAGGTTTTATGTATTACACTAATAGGGATCCACTACGTGCTTTCATTTTTGTATCAGGGTAGCTTATGGTGGCGACCTCTAGGAATAGGGGACATCTGGAAAGCTAGAACTATACGGCGTTGATTAGATTGCAGGTCAGGTTATAAATAGACAAATAATATATCAATTGATGATCACGTCAATAGACGTTAATGCGTCTGTCTTTTTTCATTTACTTTTGATAGATTGACGTTCAATTACATTAGGGAACAGTGGGGCAATTAGCCTATTTGGGAGAGCAAAGTTCCAGTTACTCGTGGTCACCTCTGAAAGTGAATGAACATTGTATTTACCTGTATTCACTAAATACACACCGATACTGGTAGTGAGCATTTCGAGCCGTTGAATATTAAGAGCTAAGGAGAATTTGGACGAGGAAAGGAGTAACATTCTGGTTCGAACAGTAACAATAATAGTAACTCGGATACGAAGACTCTAAATATAATATGTACTTTGGATGAGAACAGTTGTACAATTTATAGTACAATTGTTGAGAGCATCTTGACTAAGGTATTTTTAGACCGAATGTACAGGGTGGGCTATAAGAGTGTTAGCGACTTAAGTCTTAAATTTATCGGAAACGCGGGGCGCGGGTTGGGGGGATAAGCTGTTAGCCGCGCCGTTGCCTGGAAATTTAGTCATCAGGGAGCCGTACACGGGAGCGCAGCGTGCATTTTGTGTACGAGTGTATTATGAAACCAATAAATCGGTTATTACTGCACGACGCGACGTTTGTATCGACATGAACACGGTTTACGCGATTTAAGAGAGGTTACAAGCGCCAATGTGATACGGAAATGGATCAGAATATTCGAAACAACCGGCTCGACAGCAGCAATAACAGCTCAAGGTCGTCCATTTTTGCAAGATCAGCCGACAATGTAGCGCGTGTTCGTGTTTCAGCTCAGCGAAATCCGCAGCAGTCAACACGTAAGAGAAGTCAGGCTTTGGACATCAAAAGAACGAGCTTGCGACGAATTTTGAAGCGTGATTTGTATTTGAAGGCTTATAAGATTCAGCTAGTCCAAGAATTAAAACCAGATGATGCCAATAACCGACTAAACTTTGTCAATTTGCTGCACGACCGATTCAACAGTTTTAACAACGTGATGTTACCAATTTTCACCTCAATGTCCATGTTAACAAACAAAATTGTCGGTTCTGGTCCGAAACTAACCTCCGAACATCAACCGGTATTATTGGACCGTACTTTTTTGAGGACGAAAGAGGGCAAACGATGACCGTTAAAGCTAACAATTATTGCAATACGATTACAGACTTTCTGGTGCCAGCTTTGCAAGAACTCCAAGGCAATACCTCTAGAATGTGGTTTCAACAAGATGGGGCCACATGTCATACAGCTAGAGTATCTATAGAGCTGCCGGGGAACTCATTTTGAAAAGGGGTGATCTTGAATGGCCACCACGTAGCCCCGATCCTTCTCCATGCGATTATTTCATATGGGGCTACCTCAATTCGGTGATCTACGAGAATATTCCAACTAATTTAGAGCAGCTGAAGAGGAATATTGTTCAGGAAAGTAACAAAATACCGAGAAGAACTTTTCAACGAGTTTTCCAAAATCTGCAGCTTCGGTTTCAAGAGGACCAGCAACCGAAGTCATTTGAAGATAATTTTTAAGTCTTAAAAATTCCTATATTTCTACTTTTTTAAAATACATTTATTTTTCTTTTATATTGCGTAGCTATTTTTTAATTGAATATTGAAATTGCCAACACCCTTATGGCCCACCCTGTAGATTCCAACTTGATTATTATAGATTGAACACCCTGTACATTATAAAATTTTTGGTTTCTACGCGAGATCTTCAATACATGCAATGCATAATATGATCATATACCCAAGTCTAAACGTTTTTGGGATGTCCCAAATTTTGCCTATAAAATAACAAATGGAAGCCAGTGAACTATGACAATTTTTGCTTTTTCATATGGCATGGTTTATTAAACAAGAAAATAGACTGTATTTTAAGAAACACAAAAATTATCTATTTTTTTCAAGGTTGCTTCATCACAATTAGAGTTTCCAAAATGTATATAAATAATGGTTTTTTGCTTGCTCAAATGCTTTTCCCATAAGTTAATCACGATTATCCATGACGGGACGACAAGATGATCCCTGATTTCCATTATGGCTAACTAAGATAATATTATGACAAATGTTAATATCACAACATACTTCAAAGAGCAGAAACTTTCGTATGAAATTTTGTTTCCGAACAGCGTGGTCTTTAAATCACACGTGCACCAAAAAATTGTAATTAATCAAAAAGTTGGCGGCCATGCTACACCTTTCTCGCGCTCACGCAGGATATACATACACTAATCGCGCACTTGAGTAACAATTAAAAAACGAAAGAAAAAGCGCAGAAACTTTCGTATGAAATTTTGTTTCCGAACAGTGTGGTCTTTAAATCACACGTGCACCAAGAAATTGTAATTATTCAAAAAGTTGGCGGCCATGCTACACCTTTCTCGCGCTCACGCAGGATATACATACACTAATCGCGCACTTGAGTAACAATTAAAAAACGAAGGTACAGAATAACAATATCCCCTGAATTTTTTTAAACTTTTGTCAGTGAATGTTTGAAGATATTTAGGAGCTTCGGTAACATCAAAATTTCCGTTTTTTCAGATTGTTTTTTGAATGTTCAGTGGCTTACCAAAAAAAACTATGGATCTCAGAAAAAAGTTCAGGTCCATAGCTCCCTAAAAACCTTGAAGATCCGGAACGAAAAAAGCAGCTTTTGGTGTTTGAAAATTTTGTTTTACTTATACTATTCTTTTGTTGAGTTTCCCGCCTAAATCTCTCTAAATGGTAAAATTGTCGTAGTTTGTCAATACTTTGAATGTACAAACTCGTACTAGTTGAACGATTTACCAACAGTAATAAGCAAAATCTATTGACCCTGCCCAAAACAGTATTTTACCTTGAGCAATTGTCTTCTTAGCAGCATAAGTATTGGCTGACTTCTTGATAGCTTCCTCACTACTACCATCGGCCTCTGCACAGGTATGCAGCTCGATACTTTCTCCTCGCACAGTAATTTTTGTAAGTCCATCTGTTTCGTCAGAAAAACCTGGGTCTTGCTGGTCGCCATGCTCTAAACCTCAAAAGGGCATATGGTTGGATACGTTATAACGTTATCGATCATTTATTAATACAATTATTATTACTTTTAGCACATATTTATGTTTAGAGTTCTCAAGAACTCGTATTTATTTAATAAAAGAGTCATACATAAATGGTATACGGGAATTTTTTGGTGAAAATAAAATTGTGTTCAAATTTTAGGGCAACTGTTTATTCAGAATGCTTATTAAAACAAACAATACATACAAATCCTGCTAAATAATATATTTTATTAATCAAGAATCTTACCATTTGGGCGACAGTAATTTTTTTGGTGGTATCGTTAGAAAGGCTGACGCCAATTTTATAAACATGTTTGACTGATAATCTCGAAAACCGTCAGTATGTACAAAGGTGCTAGAAACGATTTTTGTGAGGAATTAAATTCTTCGTCATTTTGCTTTTATAAAAATTTGTCGTACACTCAACAGATTAGGAGAAATTGGTGGGCAAAGGTACATCTAATGACATTTCTTCTTATAATAACTTAAATAATGATCCAACTCTACTATTTTTGTAGAGAATTAAATTCTCTACAAAAAGGTCTTATATGTTTTTTGACACCTTGGTGGTTCTTGAAGTATAAGGAGGGAAAGCATAATATGCATACAACGTTATGTCACATGGAAATAACTTCATAATCATTAAGTGAGCATGAATAAATATCATGCCAGTGAGTCCATTCTTTTACTACCACGTGTATGTATGGAAAACATAATATTTTTTTGAGATATTGTAATGTCTTCATTTTGAAGATCAAGACACTCAATCCAATCCGTCTGTCTATTGGCTATAGTATTTTACTCAGTAATTTCAGTAGCCGTTCCATGGATTTTTAAAGAAAAGGAGGTAATAGATCATGCTGACAGACTAATGGAGGTGAGCGACTTGTAGTTGAAGACATCATAAAATACGCGTCGCAGTAAAAAAAAATCACTCTGAAATGGCAGCCTTAACCGTTGATAATGACTTATAGAGTTGTCCCTATGTGATGACATGTGGGCAAGGTACGTAGAGTGCGGAGTGTCGCATGACAGTTTTGTTATGAATTTTTTACTTTCGCTCCTTATACTTGAAGAACTAGCATTCTATTTAAAAAAAGATGTTACTCTTTATGGGCTAATGTTGTTATTTTAGCCATTATAAGTGAAACTCTTATTACATGTAATAGTAGTAAATAATAATTCACATAACCTTCACCCATAAATTCCTCGTAACCCTCGTAGCTATATGACGAATTTTCATTCAGTTATAATGATAAAGATTAATTACATACGAAATTGTTCCCATTACTTTTTTACATGGCTCCAGCCCAATCATGACGCCAATTTAAATTTGTTTTTAAGAATCAATAAAAAAATGTCACCGAAAAAATTGACTGTCTCTAAAATTGTAAGAATAAATTACGTAGTAGTATTTCCTGGTATATACATAGTCATGCCATAAGTTCTGTCCCTCGTTTTCAAACAAGTGTAGACCTGTTAATACTTGTCCGATTGTTTACATTGTGGTGTCAGTTGATTAAGCGCTTTTCGGGTAATTACATATACCTCAGTTTGTATTGATCTCTCGAAGCATAACGATGGAGTGGGGCAAGGCAGAGAACCGTATTGCAGTGATAGCTTTACATAAGTGTAATCACAGTGCTAGTCAGATTTTTGAACTCTTACGCGGCCTTCAAATATCGCGTAAATTTGAGTCTAGGACCATTCAGCGGTACAATGAGACGTCCTCTGTTGATGACAGGCCAAGAAGCGGAAGACCTCGTCAAGTAAGGACTCCAGCAGCCATCAAAGCCGTAAAAGCCAGGATTCAAAGGAATCCACTCCGGAAGCAGAAGATCCTATCCAGGGAAATGAAGATTCCTGTCCGGACGATGTCGCGCATCATTAAACAAGACCTAGGGCTAGGGGCTTACCGGAGACGTACGGGCCAGCGACTTACGGCCACCTTGCGACACATCAGGGCGACAAGATCCAAGAAGCTCTTGGAGAGGTACGCAGCTGGGGGATTCCGAAAGATTTTGTTCACGGATGAGAAAATCTTCACCATAGAAGAAAAATTCAACCGACAAAATGACAAAGTGTATGCAAGGAGTTCACAGGAAGCTTCGGAGATCATTCCGAGAGTTGAGAGAGGCCACCACCCTGCGTCAGTCATGGTTTGGTGGGGGGTGTCCTACGAAGGGGTCACTCAGCTCCATTTCTGTAAACAGGGCGTGAAAACAAAAGCGGCAAACTATCAGAGCGACATACTGGATCCTATCGTCAAGCCTTTAAGTGGTACATTGTTTGCCAACCAACACTGGGTCTACCAGCAGGATTCCGCCCCCGCTCACAAGGCTAAGAGTACGCTGCGCTGGCTGGAAAGCAATGTGCCAGAGTTCATTGATGCGGAAGATTGGCCCTCAGGGAGTCCGGACCTCAATCCTTTAGACTACAAGTTGTGGGACCTGCTAGAGCAGTTGGCCTGCTCCAAAGCCCACCGTAATATCGAGTCCCTGAAAGCGAATTTGATCCGATCAGCGGCAGCTATTCCTTTGGAGGCTGTGCGTGCAGTGATAGATGAGTGGCCCGCGAGATTGAAGCAGTGTGTGAAGGCCAAGGGGGGACATTTTGAATAAAACTGTTTGATTATGAATTCTAAAAATGTTGTCGAATAAATAATATCTTTCATATAAATATATCTTATCTTGTTTCATTTTTATCATGAGATTATCATGGGACAGAACTTATGGCACGACTACGTAATAACCCTGCTAATAAATGTTCTAGCTACTATAGAAAAATAATATTTTTTTACAATACATCAATGCTCAGGTGTTATATTCTATATTAGAATTATTTGCTATCTAAAACCATACAAGATACAACGGCGTTGTCTGGAAATTCGTTAGTCTCGATTATCAGTATTTGTGGAGTAGAAAGTATTATGGCTGTCACTTATCTCAGATAGCTTGTAGTGAAGCAGCCTATTTTGAGTTCTTGTTAACACCAAAGCTCTGATGTGCACAAGCAAACTAGCTAGAAAAGTCGCTGAGTGATCGGATAGCATAAAGACGAGCAGAGAATTTCGTTCGAATTTAATCCCCAGCAAAACTAGAACACGAGTTCCATGAAATGTAGACATCAGTGTTACTGGAATCCTCGTTCGAGTGTTGACAAAGGAATTCGAACGAAGTCCAATTAATAAACATCACTTTGGTGCATCACTCAATCGGAAAGGCTGTTTATGGTAGAATATCTCGATGTATCATATGTATCAAAATTATGAAAGAGTATGTATGATGTAAGAGAAATTCAATGAATTATTGTCGAATATTCAGGTGATCCAATAAGATCGATATCCTGTTAACAGTCTGCAAATTGTACTTGTGACAATGTAAGATATTTTGAACTTAAGGACGGCTTACTCATAAAACAGAAATTATCGACTTGGAAAAGTTTTTATGGACAATCCTAGTTTTTACAAACTTCATAGTCGCATTTTACTTTTAAGTACGCAACGCTAAAGCAGATTAAGGAAGCCCGTTGCCTGGGAAACGAATCATTTGGCAACTGCGACTAGGTGCTAATGGAACATTTTTTTAAGGCTGCTTAGATTTTAATAAATTCACTATGGTCAAAGTTCAAGTCACAAATCATATAACGGGTAGGTATAATGTACTGATTTTTCTTTTAAGATTCCCATTAAAACAATGCCTTATCATGTGATGGCACATATATGTCAAGGTTGAACACGGTCTGGAATCTATTGTGTAAAAAAGTAAAGGATCGGTTCTGTATTTTTCATGTAAGATGTTTCACAAAAAGGTCAAAGCTCCATCCTTTGATATCGGTGATCGGAAGAACGGAACAGTCTATGACCGAAAATTCAAGGTCGAACGAAGGTCAATGTGAATGTGTGAGGCTATCGGAAATTGCTAAGAACTTAACAGGAGTACAGGTATTGACGGAAAAATCATGGTCAGACCTTTAGTAACCTTTGACAAGGATTTTGATATTGACCTTGAGTCTAACCTTCAAGGTCATAATAGTACGTGATAACATACTGTGACATAAAAACTTCCATTGCCAGTGTCAAATATTGATTGGCTTTTAAAAAGGGGGCTTTGCATTTAAAAAATGAGAGTTGACCTTGAAATAATACTGAAAGTGAGACTTTAGGTAAAAGCTTCTTATTTGTACGGATAATATCTTGCAGATATCGGGGTATATGTGCCAAGTTGCGCAGTATATCATGTCCACGTGACGTCACGTACCTTGGATGTGCGTGAAACTTAATCTTATATTCCGTGCGTTCCGGTGGTGCTTCTTGTCGGCATGTATTTGAAACTTTTTTTTGATGGTATTCAGTTCTTTTGTGCTTGTTTCAACAAACCTTCAGTTGATACTACTTGAATCACCGCGTTGTTGTTGAACTTCTCATCACAACGCGAAGGCATTTTAATAGTCCGAACATTGAATCCCAAGCTTCTTATAATACTAAGAATAACCTAATGATAGTAATAATAACAGATGTACACAAACATTTATTTTAACCTAAAAACCCTAGTTTTTTTTTAATTCTGGCCAACCAAAATTTATAGGTTACGTTTCGCGTCCTCGAAAATTTCCTCGTCTAGTCTATGCTTGCTATCATCTGTGTGAAAACCCACTTGACATGGGCGTACCATTTTAAGTTTCCTTTTTCTTGATCTTCATAATATAAACCGTAGCATTACTTGAAATTACAACTAACGGGCAGTATCGATAGTGTTTGCTAAAATTGTTGGGGTATTTTGAGGAACTGGATTAGAACAATGATGCTTCATTAACTAATTCACGTATGCAAGAGCAATTGCATTTAAGATCGATTTGTCCAGCGTGCAATTTTCCAGTGGAGCCTTATTTCCGCACATGGTTTAGATAGTCGACTTGATCAATTATTTCGATTGGCATTGATGATGTAACTGCCAAAAAGAGTGAAAAAGACTGTA